GGAGGGGGACGTGGGAGGAGAGAGGGAAATCGGGGCCGAGCTCATCCAGCGGCGACATCATCAAGGTAGGCCTACGCGCGCTGGTGTTGTAGGTGCTACGTTTCAGGCTTGGGCTTTCGCTGGGGGTTGTTGGATGCGGCTGTCCATACCGATTCGGAGAGTCGGACGGTTGGAAACAGAGTCGGGTTTGTATGTGGGCCATTGTAGAAGCTTGTGCTAGAGAGTTGCGGTGCGTGTCGTTCCCGTGAAGCGGTCCTAGTGGGTAGCGTGGCAGCCATGATTGTAGTTGTGCCCGTTCTTGCAATGAAAAGTCGTTTTGGCTTGCGCAGGTGGTACCGGGCTCGAAAGTGCCCACGGACGGTGTGGTGGTGTGGGGACAATCCTTCGTGAACGAGAGCATGATAACAGGCGAAGCCCGCCCCGTACCGAAGAAATTAGGGGACAAGGTGATAGGAGGCACCATGAACGACCACGGCGTGATACACATACGAGCCACACACGTAGGGGCGGAGACCGCATTGGCACAAATTGTGCGGCTGGTGGAAGCCGCCCAAATGGGCAAAGCCCCGGTCCAGAAGTATGCGGATCGCATCTCCACTTACTTCGTCCCCGCCGTGGTGGTCGCGGCGTTCGTCACGTGGCTGGCTTGGTACGTTGGAGGCAAAGCACGCTCGTACCCAAAGTCATGGATTCCGGCTGCGATGGACGAGTTCGAGCTGGCACTTCAGTTCGGGATATCAGTGCTCGTCATCGCGTGCCCCTGCGCCCTCGGCCTGGCCACACCCACCGCAATAATGGTTGCCACAGGGAAGGGCGCGACGCAGGGGATCCTGATCAAAGGGGGTCAGGCACTGGAGGCTGCACACAAGGTGAAGACGGTGGTTTTCGACAAGACCGGGACGCTGACAATCGGGAAGCCCATCGTCGTTCACACCAAGCTGCTCACGAACATTCCTCTGCACGTGTTCTACGACACAATCGCAGCAGCGGAGGTCAACAGCGAGCACCCACTGGGAAAAGCGATCGTCGCGTACTCCAGGAAGATCAGCGGCGAGCATTCGTCCCATGGTCAGCAGCAACACGAGGTGCGTGATTTCGAGGCCATTCCAGGGCAGGGAGTGCGCGCCGTGGTGGACGGCAAGGCGACCCTGGTGGGGAACATGCGACTGATGAAGGAGCACGGGATCCACATATCGGAAGAAGCGGAGGAGCACTTGCGCGATGTGGAGACTTTGGCCAGGACGGGAGTGATGGTTGCCATCGAGAGGGAGTTGGTGGGGGTGGTGTCCATCGCGGATCCAGTGAAGCCGGAAGCAGCCAGAGTAATCAGCATCCTCAAGTCAATGGGCGTGCGCAGCATGATGGTCACGGGGGACAACTGGGGCACAGCCGTGGCGATTGCGAGGGAGTTGGGAATCGAGAGGCCATGCGTGCACGCAGAGTCGTTGCCAGAAGACAAGGCCAGGATCGTGGAAGAAATGCAGGTTCGTGGTTTGCCTGGTGCACGAGCATGCGTGGGGGCTGCGGGGGGAGTTTGACCTGGGGAGGGAACGCGAGCGCCGGGGTGGGATTGGATTGCGTAATGGGGGAAGCAGAGGCGAGTGATGAGGACGCTTGGTGAACAAGCATGCTGACGCTGAGGTTTGTGGGATGCAGGCGGCAGGGACGTCGGTGGCCATGGTGGGGGACGGCATCAACGATTCGCCAGCGTTGGTCGCAGCGGACGTGGGGATGGCGATAGGAGCGGGGACGGACATCGCGATCGAGGCGGCGGACATCGTGCTGATGAAGAGCAACCTGGAGGACGTGATCACAGGGATAGACTTGTCACGGAAGTCGTTCTTCAGGATCTGGCTGAACTACGTGTGGGCGTTGGGGTACAATGTGCTGGGCATCCCCATAGCTGCGGGGGCGCTGTTCCCAAGCACGGGGTTCCGGTTGCCTCCGTGGGTGGCGGGTGCAGCCATGGCGGCGTCATCGGTGTCGGTAGTATGTTCGTCGCTGTGGCTGAAACGCTACAAAAGGCCGAAGGTGGTGGAGGAGATAGACACGAGTGTACAGCGGTAGTAGGCGCGGAGCACGTTCCAGTGCCTTCTCACAGTTTTGCGAAGCAGATCAGTTTTGCACAGCGTCTTCGGGGAGCTGTATTTCAGGCGGCGCCCGCTCGTGCCTGGGCTCAGGGGCGGGTGTCGCCTCAAACACAGCGCTCTGGGTGACATGTAAATAGATATATTTTTTTTTCATTTTATAGTATTTGTGTTCACCTTTGATAATTTTAGGGTAGGATTTTTTATTCATTCATTAGTTTATTTTGTTGTGGGCATTTTTATTGATGATTTTATTTTGAATATTTTATGTATCTTAAAATTCTAGTAATTGATACTCAAATCATTATATAATTCGAATTAAATGGGATTCATCTACAGATACTTGTAATTTAATACAATTTTTCTTGTTCAATTTCGATTCTTTTGACTATGTGCATTTACATTGTTATCGCCTAATTTTATGTTTTCTAAAGTGAACAAATCTTACTACATAAGCTATTTTGAAAAGGAAAACAGTTTAAAAATGGTATTGCTTGAGTAAAAATCCAGATATACTTAAAATGTTTCTCTTTATATAACTATTTCAAGAGTCCATTCTATATCACATCAAATCAATTTGAAAACAAATATCATCAAGCTCCACACTCTAAATCCTTAACAACGAAATGGCTTTTTAGCAAATTGTCATTTTAAAAAACATATAAAGAAAACATGTTTAATTTGTTTGTCATACAATTCACACACACACACATACATACATACATACATACATACATGTTTGTATGTATCTACATATATATATGAGAAGAGTACACATTTTCTGTTTCCCTATGGACAAGGTTACAGTATTACCTGTTAAGATTCAAAGTGTGAACACACTTGGTACAACCACCTGGCATCTTCTAGCAATGCCATACCATTCTAGGCAAAAATGTTAGCAATTTCAGCAATTTTTTAACACAACCCGCAATACTCGTAATGAAGCTTTAAATGGTGTAGCAAATAAAGAGATCAGAAGTAGGATTTAGAGCTCTTCTCAAAGAGGGCAAAGTTGGACATCCACTTTGAAAACCCCGTCGGCGGTGAACACGATGCTGTCGCAAGCAGTCAAGGTTCGAAGTAGTGTACACGGAGTAAGCTCCGTGTAGATCATCGGAGTTGCGGACAACACGAGCTCCATGGACTACGAGAGGAGTACCATCGGAGGTGGGGGGAGGGGGGGGGTTCCATGATGGAAAAAGCGGGGGATTAGGAAACTCATGATACAACTCCAATCATTACTAACAACAAAATAACTTACTTTCTTTGAATTACATAAGATATCTTCAATGTCTTATAATTCCTTCATGTAGACTTAGAATTTATCAAACAGTATATGAACAGTATAGCTTAGAAAGTGCTCTCTCTAATCCTAATCGCTGCCCTTCATTGTTCTTTGTAAGCATATGTTTTGCTTCAAAGAATGACAATAGGTACAAAATTGACACTTTAGTTTTCAACACCTATAACTCCTTCATAAAAACTCCAAATCATACAAAATTTGCATCCAATCCATATCCAAAAACCTAAACTTGCTGATCCTAACCTCCAAAGTTCAAATGACCTTGGAAGAGAAATCATTATCCCTAATAAGGACTTGAGTAGCCTCCTTAAAGTCCATTGGCCATGACATTCAACTAATAGGGATGAAAATCTTTTTTCTTTGCCTTCATTTAACCATACTTTGCTTTCATCCTTTCCAATAAGCCTCCTTATAGTTTAGACTTTCATCTTTAGACTCCAACCTTTTCTTAAGCTTTATACTAAATATATAAATCTTACATAATATAAATACTATAATAAAAAATAGATAAACCTCTAAATAAATTGTTTTCTATCTTTTTGACCTTGCACAATTCATATGCCACATGTTGAAGGCTCATACCAAAGTCTTATTGAAGAACTGTGCCAATAGCAAAGTTGGAAGCTTCAATGTCAAGTATACATGAAAGATTGGGATCATATGGTTGTAATATTGAAGCAGTACAATCTAATGAATTTATATTAATTTTTAACTTTTATGTTGATGATTTAATCATCTTAACCAATATCTTAAAGATAATAGATTTGTTGAAAATAAAGTTAAAAAAGAAGTATAAGATGATTGATTTGAAAGAGCTTCACTATTGTTTAGGAATGGAATTTGTGAAAGATTATGCTAAAAAGATGATAATAATAATCCAAAGCAAGTACATTGAAGATGTGTTGAAACGATTTAACATGAAGAAATGTAAGCCTACATATAAACCTTTGGAGGCCAATTTGATGTTGATGAAGTTCATAGATGAAGAATTTGCTAAAGTTGAAGGTCAAATGTTAGATATTCCATATTAGATAGCAATAGACTCACTTATGTATGCAATGGTTGGCACAAGGGTGGATCTTGCATATGTAGTGAGTATTATGAGCCAATACATATCAAAGGCTAGAGCAATCCCTTTGGCAACCATTAAAAAGATTATGAAATACTTAAAAGGTATTTTATATTTTAAATTATATCTTGAAAGTAATAACATTACTTTGCATAGTTATTGTAATGCGGATTGGATTAGAGTTGCAAATGATAGAAGATCAATAACGAGGTATGTTTTCTTTCTTGGAATGAAAGCAGTTTTATGAAATTGCAAGAAACAAGCAACAATTGCAAGATCAATAATGGAGGTAGAATACATAGTAGTAAATTATGATACAATGGAGATAATATGGCTTAGACAACTTTTGGAGGGCATTGGAGTAGTACAAATAGAAACAACAATAGAATGTGACAATCAAGGATGTTTTGCGCTTACAAAGAATCCAAAGCATCATCAAAGACCAAGTACATTGTCATTTAACATTACTTCATAAGTGAGAAGATTGAAATGAGAGTGATTAATATAAAGTATTATGCAACAAAAGACATACTTGTTGATTTGTTGACAAAGACATTAGTAAAGGATAGGCATTGCATGTTAATAAAAGAATTAGGATTGAAAGCCTTTGACCAATAGAAAAGTAAGAGTATTAAAATAAGTAAATAAAAATAAAAATAGAATAAGTTATAATACAACACCCTTGCTGCAACAAATCTCATTGCAATCTATAGATCCAGTCGTGAAAATTGCTCCTTTGAAGTTGAGTGATCCAAACTACCGCGGCGACCAACCCCCTTCACTTAGAAATTTGCTAAAAATTCAAATTATCTTCAAATCCAGCGAAACTTATGCCCTTCAAAGCTTAGCTTATAAATCTTGATGCTTCCGAAATTTCAAATGAATCCAGCAATCAAGCACTGATAAATGTCTTCCTAAACTCGATTAATCCAAACTGCGAAGGTTGTCAACCCCCTCACACTCAAAATTTCACCAAAAATTTAATTCAACTCTGAATGGAGCAAGACTTCTTTGTCAGAAAGCTAACAACAAAAGCTAAAACCACAAAAAAAATCACATTAGAACTAAAATAATTGAATGACTGATGGAGGGAAATCTGAGGCTCTTGAAATCCTTGGAGTAATTGAGAGGCCAAAGGAGCTATTCACCACAATGAAACGTGTTTTAAGACCCAATGACTATCATTCGCAACTCAAAATCCATCCACATCCACCCATAAAATTCATAATGAGATTTAAAATCTAAATGAAATTAAAATTAGGATTTTTGGCCAAATTTTAGCATGGCTTCATCCTTCACCAAAAGAGAAGAGAGAGAGGGCTTGGAAAACCAAGCCTCTCTTATACAATTGAGTGGAGGCTCGTAGAAGGGTGGCTACATCTCCACCCTTGATTTTTCAGATTCCTAATCTAGATCTATGGCCTTCATTCATCCAAGACCAAATCTCGTTACCAAGGCTGATAGCCCTTGTAAGTAGTTAAGAAGGCATTTTTTTTGCAAATCTAACTTCACTATTGTGTTCAAAACACCTTTTTAAGCTAAGATCGACTACTCTTATGCCCCAATCCATGCTCAATTATAATTTCCATGGAAGTTTTTACTTATAAGGATCTTGGCAATTTTTTTGTGAAATTCTTCAAAATGAGAATTTCATTGCTTCTCTTGTATTTAGAAGGAGAGGTTGCTGATCTTGTTTTCTTCACTCCACGAAGTAAATCCGGTGCCACCATTGCATTAAAGAGACTCCCATTAAGTAGAAGAACCACCATGCCGCTTAAATTTGCCGAATTTGGAGGAAAAATCCAAAATTACCATTGCTAACTTTCCTAAATCTTTTAGAGAATTATAATTCCAACCCCTAAATCATGTGAATTATTATAGACGAACTCATTGGCTTTTAGTCAACCCTTATAGTAATGACCAACAACCTTTAAATTATTAAACTAACTAAGTTGCTATTCTAATTTTCTAACTCTTGTCACTTTAGTCCTAATTAATCTAATTCAAAAAATTAGGCTATGATTTATATCATGAGGGATTGTAATCCTAAAAATTCTATAAAATTGAATTCTACTTATATAAATCCTAATCTAACATGTTTAATTATTATAAAATAGGAAAATAATAAAAATTTAAATTTTAGAGTATAATTGAGAGCTAACATGTGGTGCACCATCTGTGGGCTATTTGCCATGCAAATAGAATGGACCCTTGAGTCTCTTACAAGTGAAGGTAGTGTCTTTTCCAAGGGCACATGGTCAATTGAAATTCGAAGAATAAGATTCTTAAAAATAATAAAATCATAATATAAAATCCGATATCAAATCCTCTCAACTCTAATATCCATTTATTAATATTATAAATTAAAATATTGGAACTCATCCTTCTTCCTCAAATAATGTCAATTTGGAGTACTATAGAAAAATAATTAGAAGTTAAAAAGTTGAAAATAAAAATAACCATATCCTCCCTTCTTAGAGCAAATTCTAACCTATAAATAATAAATTAATTCAATTGGCCTCCCTCCTCCATCAAAGTGGATTTGGATTAAAAAAAAAGAAGTGAAAACGGAAGAAGAATAATAAAATAAGAAGTTGTTAATTACTACATGAGAAGCAATGTCTTTTTCTTAGCAATTTGGACCTAATCTATGTAAATCATCTAATACAAGTTAAGAAAGTGAAATAAGATTGAATAATAAGAGCAAAAGATGAAAATTACTCACTCAATAGCGTCCACACTATATCTTGGGCCTATCTCATAGAAGAATATTCATATTATATTTTAATTTTATGTATTTTTAATAAATATGTGAATGCCCTATAAATCATACTATCTCGCTTAACTTCATAATATTAACATCCTCTCTTGGAACTATAAAGAAATAAAAAAAGAATAAGAGAAGAAGAAAAATTTGAGATATAATAAGAATATTATAAAAAGAGGCACTTAGCTAGTATTTCACCTTTGTGGTTGCTAATAAATCCCCAATCAACCGTCT